AAATTTTCAGCATATTTGAGACTTTCTTGTAACTTCTGCCTCAATGTTTTTTTTTGTATAATTATTCTCCTTACTTCCTTTCACGACACATTTGTTATACGGTATAAATTTTGTTCTTTGCATATCTGATCTCCGCACTGCTTATATCTTGAGTTACGAATTTCTGTTGAAAAAAATATCTAGAATCATTTGCTACTATTAAGAGTATATGTAAAATATATTACGGGTATGTGTTTCTATCTAGAAGGCAGTTTTGTTCTGCATATGGATCTCCACTGAAACCTAAATAAGAAAACATTAGTGTAAAAATGTTGTTGCAAAAATTATATTATATTGAATCGCCTACCTGGCATGTTCAATGTAGGCAATGCATTAGGTTTCAGTGTAGTTATATTTCTTTTGCATATACTTGCAAAATGTGCGTCTCACACGAACCGAGACCTAGACGAACGCAAAGGTGTTAATTTCTCTTGATCAGGATTTTTTATTCTTTCCAGGCAAATAGCAAATATCTACAACATCCAAATCAATATTTATTTGTGATTAATGTTTGGTTATTTTATTCTTATTACGTACTTTGTCATTTCTAGCTGGAAATACATGCAATTCTGCATTTTTTTTTAATATTAGTGCACCCTGGAACATAACACTTTGACATTTTGCTTGCAAACTAATCACCTGTCGAAATTGATTGATTGCCCGCGTTGAAATTCTTAGCCGATGAGTGCCAAATTGCTGCAAGAGCGCACTTAGGGAGAGCAGCTCTAACTAAAACCGAGCAAGGCATAGTCTCTTGGCCCCCTGTAATATCAATTAATGTGTAAAGAAATCCAAAAGTTTGATAAAGTCAATATTGGAGCTGCAGTATCAAGTATCATGTAGTAAAGATTAATTTTAAAATTTTCTTTTGTAGTCAATTGAATGTTTTCATCTCCTTCATGCTAATTTGTTTTCGGTGGCGTCGGCGACAAACACTAATTTCAGCAGAAAAATCTGGCTCTGTTTCTAATGCTTCATAAAGTTCATTAGCCAATTGCAAATAATTTTCGACACTTTCATTATTTCTAATGCTTTCGGAAAATTTTAATACTTACTTGATTCAGTACACGAACTAACATTCTAAGAAACTTTTTACGTCATTTTGCTAAAAAGTTCATATTTCTGCACTCACATTCACGCTTAAAGCCAGTGTCAGATGGGAAAAATGTTGCACATGCTTGGATGAGCTGACAAATGATTGACCTAATTAAATAGTCTACACAAGTGCAAGAATATGTAAGAAAGCAAATCTTGCACTTTTCGCATCTCATACAAAAACTGTTACATGTTTGATTAGCCTGTGTAACCACATATGATGATACATTCCACTGTTTATCGGAAATAATTTGTATCTGCTTTATATTTTCACTTCTCTTATGCCTTTTTGTTGTCTCTCTCTGTCTTGTTGATATACAAATTCAATTTATTCTTCTATTTCTGTAACAAAAGGCTTCCACTTCAGTCCTTAACACCATATCAATGGCCTTATCCATTCTCTTACTGTTACTTACTTACTTTCTTCCCATGACTCGTTTCTTCATTTGATTATGATGGCTTTCTAAGAACATGTTAGTGTTAATCCCTAATCCTTTCATATAGCAATATGCTCATGTAGTTTCACGGTAGCAGTAAACTTTTCTAAAATATGTTACAAATGATTTTGTATCATCTCCCTCAAGCTCATCAAAAAAAAAATTTAAACTAGTCCTGAATTCCCTTTCATCTAAAATCATTTTTATAGTTATCAATTTCTCATACCTTCTTCCAACTCCTGGACACGTGCCATGAGTATAACAGTTTATGCTGTGGAGCACTCATGACAGATGACCAAGCATTGAAATATGCTGGGTAGTTATCTGTCATGAATGACTTTGTTTGATTTTACCGACTGCCTTAGAGATTTCTTCAAAAAATATTTTACACATTACTTCATCTTGTCTGTTAGCAAAATAATGCAACTGGAACTCCGCTTCCAAATGCATCAATCACCATTAACGTATGCAACAGGTAATTGTAACAATTTGTTCCATGGGTGGCATCAAAGCAAATTATGTCTGTGCCAAATTCCTTCAACATTTTCGCCTGCTTCTTAGTCATAATTATTAACATATAATCTTCCTTTCTAAGCCCATAATCAACAGTGTTGTCATTTTGATGAAACAATACTGAAAATCGCTCTTTTCGCCTGTTCTACTCTACCCAAATTTCACACTGATATAATCAGTTGGGTGTTCGTATGTACGGTATGGTTTTAAATTTTTTTTCTTATGTTCCACAAATCTCTACTGGAGACTAAAGAAACCCTCAGTGGTAATTAATTATTATACGATGCTTCACGTATATTACCAATGATAACAAAAATCCCTTTGATATCTCTGTACAAATGTTCGTTTAGTTCGTTTTACGGTGACATTATCAATAAAAAAAGCGACGAAAATAATAGTTCATATCCAATCTTAATCATTATCACACTTGAACAGAGATAAAACTATTATTTATTGATACATAGGCCATCGGGCACCATAACATATTTATCCTCTCGACTAAAAAATTTGCCCTCTTTACTCTGATTACCTTGTAACAGAGGCTATAAACTATATCCGTAAACCAAACCAAACATTTCGCGACGCCCGGCTAAAAAAACAGCACAACGATATATACATATATAAAAAACATGATTCGAATATACTAAAATGGCAAACAAAGCGGATGGTGCAATAATGATAACAAGGATAGGATACATAGGTAAGAATAAATAAGTTACGCATATGATAGAAGTGTTATGAAGTAATAAAACATTAAAATTAGTAAAAATTAAACAAACATGAAGGAGAGAAAAAACTATTTGATAAGCGGAAAAGATACGACTTCTAAAAGACAAATTATGCCTGCAATATGCTCTAATTAACGAAGGTTGGCTAGTCTTTTAGTTACCGTGCCGCATACGATGTATAACTAAACTGGTCGCGATAGCTGTTGTGATCGATATGCAAAGAAATCATATCCCAGTCCTATTATGTATTAGTAAGATGGGTTGGATAAAGCCGCGAAATGAGCACCAGACAGTGCTGACCCGACAGAACTGAGGCCAACATTAATACGCGTAAAAAAAGAAAGAGAGAAAATATTTAAAAAAGAAAAACATTATGAAAATTATTAAAACTCATTCATTATTGCATCATCTTACAAAAGACAACATTATTGGATCGATACACGAAAATATATAACGTTAAAATACGAAGAAAAACTAGTAGCATGGCCTTAAGGCAAATTGCTGGAACTTCCCGTACCGCAATTCAAAATTCGAGTAATTAAAAATAATCAATAATCAATAACAGTTGATCAATGATTGGATACTTTTAATAGAATTGTAAACCATAATAAATCATTTATGTGCAAAAATATACCATATTGAAATAAAATCGTAAAATCTGAAATTTGTTAAATATTCAAGTATCGACATTTTATTTTAAGTACAAATAAAACAAACCATAAAATATATTTTTTATTCATTATACATTGTTATGTACATTTTCTATGACAGGTAGACATATACATACGCACACTATATATATATATATATATATATATATATATATATATATATATATATATATACAGTAGAACCTCGATTATCCGGACTAATTGTTGTCGATAGGCATCCGGATAATCGAAAATCCGGATGATCCAAATGATGAAGAATAAAGTTTTGTTTATCAAAAATAACAAATACATACATAGATATCAACAAAAATCAATGTTTATTAAAAAATTAACGCTTACATATTTTCTCACAATTAGATTACATTATACATATTATATTAATCATGAGGTAGAATATTCAGGTGGTACGTAAAGTATCAATGAAGAAGAAAAGTTGCTTGCGAATAATTTGTTGATCATTTTTGTAAAAACCAACAATATATGGCTTCTTCTAAGAGTTAATTTTTCGGTCTGTTCATTTTCCGATTTTCACTCCCCTCTTTACTATCTAACTTGCAAATGTACAACAAAATTGAATCGGCATTCTTTTTAGTATCGCTTATAGTGGATGTACCTACACCATATCTTTCAGCTAACTTACGGCCGGTTTCGCCTTTTTTAATGATTCTATTATATTTATTTTATCTTTAAGGGAAAACACCACCCTTTAAAAATGTATATATGCACGTCAGAACACACTAGTAAAATTGCAAACGAACTACATAAAGCGATAATGCCGCGCGGGGCAGCAAAACAGCGGCGCGGGCGGAATATGCAAGTTCCGACGCGATTATGTCCGGATAATCGCGAATCCGTATAACCGAGGTCCGGATAATCGAGGTTCTACTGTATATATATATATATATATATATATATATATATATATACATACATACATACATACATACATACATGAATGCTGAAACAAAGAAATAATACATTGGTAATTTGTGTTGTGCTATACATTTACACAATTAATATATCGTAGACCTAGGCTGCATGCTTGCCCAACAAGCAGAACAAAGCTTGGAATACTTGATTTGGAACCATAACGAACATGATTTAGCTCCACGACGCGGACGTTCGGTTAGGTTCGGAGGGTAAATTATTTATTATTTTCAAACCCAATCTTAGAGTTCCATTTCCATTCACTGATGTTATGATGATCCAAATTTCGAATGGTTCTGTATCCCATTTATTTACGCACTTACAATGTTTCTTCCGTTAGAATCATATTTTCCTTTTCTTATACTTATATTAAACTTCATTTATTACTTTTGCTGGTGGTGCTTTCACATTGTAAAAATCAATCCCTGTATTGTTTTTTTTTTATTTATTTATTTATTATAATGGCATCTGATCTGAATCATATTGCCCTAACTTAGTTTACAGAGAGATCTATATACAAAAATCTTTGAACACTAATCAATATACATAAACTTTGAATATACAATACAATATGATGTTGAATTTATAAATTAAATTTCTAAACTACTGTCCATAAGAAATTGATTAATAATATTATGTATGCTTTCAGTACTAATTAGAAGTAATTGATGAACGCTAGTAGGAAACTCAATTTTCTCTTTTTGCAGCTTCTTGTAAAATTTTTCCCTTGCAGACTGATATCGGGGACATTCAAAGAAGATGTGATTGAGGGATTCTTCCTCATACCCACATGTACATGCTGGGGAATTGATAATATTAATTTTATTTGGGTGCTGTCCAAATCTCCCGTGACCTAGTCGTATCCTACATATATTTGTAATATATTTTCTGTTTTGTTTTATTTTTTGAAACCAAGATTTCGTGGATACTTTCGGGTTTATTGAGCCGTACTTGTGTCCTTTCTTCTCTACAGACTTTGTATAATTGAGTTGCCATTGATGTAGTGCGATTTGCTTGAGTTTCTGTCTTAGGTCCGAAGCTGGGATTTTATGTCCTTCCTCCCCGAATTGACAAGCCTGTTTTGCAAATTTGTCTACAGCTTCGTTGTTCTTAATACCTGCATGTGCCTTCATCCACACAATGTTTATTTTATATTTTCTGTTTTCTAACTTTTCTATAGCCTCTAGTATTTCCAAAATAATGTTATTTGTCTTACTGTCTATTTTTCCTAACGCCTCTATTGCACTCCGAGAGTCGGTTAGAATGACACAGTTTTCTATATGATTATCTTCAATAATTTTTATTGAGTTTTTGATGCCTATAAGTTCAGCAGTAAAGATAGAAGTCGATTCTGGCAACTTGATGTATTTGACTGTATTGCTTGTTGGTTCAAAAGCTGCACATCCTGCTAAATTCCCTATTTTGGCTCCATCTGTGTATATAAATTTTGCTCCAGGCCATGTTAATCTTACCTTATAATTAAATATTGTGTTTCGTAAAGCTACATTCATACTGTTAGTGTTTACCAGATTTTCTTCTAGGTATGTGTTTATTTTTTTATATATTAATTTTTGTGGTAATTTAAACATTGGCAATGTGGAATTTTTAATTATATTATTTTCATATTTTTTGATATTTATGAGGCAATCTACTAATATTGGATTTTGTTTCTTGCGCCAATATATTTTTGTAGAAACTAGTTTATGTAACAGCTCCATTTGTGCAGGGATATTTTCGTTATCATTATGTATCTTTGTTAAAAGAAAATTATTTCCTAACATTGTTCTGCGGATACTTAAAGGTGGTTCACCAGTTTCCACCAGAAGAGCATTGGTTGGCGTTGAGCGCATCGCTCCAATGCATACTCTTAGGGCTCCGTATTGCATTCTGTCTAGTTTTTCCATTAATGATTTTGCTCCTCGACCATATATATAGCTGCCATAGTCTATTACGGATCTAATTATAGATTTGTAGATATTTATACATATCTGGGGATCTGCTCCCCACCAAGTTTTAGCTAATAGTCTAAGTAGATTAATTCCACGTTCGCATCTCTTTATTGTGTTAGTTATATATTCTCTGAACATAAGTTTCTCATCCAGATGTAGTCCTAGCAATTTTATGCTCCTTTTCCTTGGCAATAACTTGTCATTGACTTTAATTTGTGTCAATTCTTCTGGTATTCTGTATCTACTGAAAATTATACTGGCTGTTTTATCTTGTGATAATGTTAGATGATTATTTAATGTCCATTGATGGAATTTAGACATTTCTCTTGTGAGTTTAGATATACATTCGTCAATACTATTTTGGGATGTATATATGCTTATATCATCTGCATACTGTAGTATATGTGTGTCAGCTGTAAATATTTTTTCTACCTGAGCCATGTATATATTAAAAAGTAACGGTGATAGCAATGATCCCTGTGCTAATCCTTTATTTGTTTTTTTGGGACCGTATAATTTGTTGTTTGCCTTTATAAATATCTGTCGATTTGTTATCAGCTCTAAAATTATATTCCTTATAGATCTTCCGACCTTAAAGTGTAATACTTTTTCATGGAGTATGTCTATATTTATTGATTCATATGCTTTATTAATGTCAGTAGTAATTAGGAGTAAATATTTGTTATATGAGTTAGAAATATGAATATCGTTAGTCAATTTTGCTAGATAGTCCATGGTTCCTTTTCCTTTTCTAAATCCATATTGTGATCCTCCTAATAGTGATTCGTTTTCTTACAACCACTCCAATCTACCTTTTATCACCCTTTCAAAAGTTTTACATATACATGATGATAAAGCAATAGGCCTGTATGAGTTCGCGTCTAATGCGTTTTTGTTTGGCTTTAATATTGGCACAATAATTTGCGTTTTCCAATCCGGTGGTATAAAGTTCTTTATTACAAAGTCATTGAAAAGATTAGTAAGGTATGTTTTGGCATTATCTGGCAAGTGGAATAGCATAATATAATGAATGTTGTCAATACCAGGTGAAGTATTCGCGCTATGTTTGATGGCCTTTTCTATTTCATCAAATGAAAATTTTTCAAAATCATTTGTGTTTTCTTGACAATTGTTTTGAAAACTATTATTTGGAATATTATTACCTTGTACAGCAAATAAATTCATTAGTTCCTCTATAGTATGTTCTGGAATTATTGTATTTTTTCCACTGTATTGTTTGTCTAATTATTTTACTGTTTTCCATATTTCGCTTGTATCAGTGTCTTTATTTATCGAATTCGTGAAGTTTATCCAGCTATCTATTTTCTTTTTTTTTTTGAAAAGCTTTTTTGTATATGCATTTATTTTGTTATACTCCTGATAATTTATAAAATTAGAATTTTTCTTATACTTCTTGAAAGCTGTCTTTCTACTTAAGAATGCCTTTTGGCATTCTTCATCCCACCAAATTGCTGGAGTAAAATTGTTCTTGTAAAACTGTTTGTATTTTCCGACATATATTTCGTTGGCGGTATTAATTGTGTCGATAAAGATTTCATATCCCTGATCAGGAGATTGATATTTTTGACATTCATCAATTAATATTTTTATTTTTTCGGTGTATTTTACCCAGTCTACTTCTTTAGTCTTCCATTTTCTAGATGGAGTTATCTCTGTACGTAAAGGGATATTTGATCTAATTGTAATATTAATCGGTAGATGATCTGAGCCAAGCGGCTCATGAATCACTTCCCAATCTATTTTTGTCGCTAAATTTACTGAGCATAGCGTTACGTCAATCGGAGATGAACTGCAATTGGGTTTTTCAATCATAGTGTTTGAGCCATCATTGAGTATCACTAGGTTATAATCTTCAATTGCGTCATAAAGTGCATTGCCTTTTGAGTCGCATGAGTTACATCCCCAAGTAATGTGATGCGCATTAAAATCTCCCGTAATTAGAAATGGACTAGTTATCTGCCGAAAAATTTGCTGAAAATAATGTTGTTCCAGAACAGCGTCAGGAGCGACATATGTACTAATTATCGATATCTGTGTTGTTAAATTTATCGAAATGCCACAAATCTGAATTCTTGCATTATTGTTATTGATTTGAATCACTGAGTGTTTTATTGCTTTGTTGATAAGGATTGCCGTTCCTCCGTAATTGTCGTTTCTATCGCTTCTGACTATGTTATAATTCCTGATCTTATATATCAGATGTGGTTTGAACCAGGTTTCTGATAAACACGCGACCGCAATCTTATGTGTGTTTAAATAGTGTCCTATGCCACCTCTGTTTGCTGTAAAAGATCTACAATTTAATTGAATTATTTTGAAAGAATCCATAGTGATTATTTATGATTTTGGTCTTGAGTGTATACTAAGTATGAAAGATTTTATTTTATCTAAAATTCTTTCCGGTGCTACGTCATTCCTATTATTTATAATTTCCGTTATTGTTTTTGTGATCTGGATAATTTCTGACATTGGTTGTTTTCCTTTGTGATTATTATTTATGATGTTTTGTTGATTAGTTTCATGTTTGAGTGGTGGTCTTACTCGTTGAACTGTAATGTTTCTTCTGTTGTTTTCTGAGGTTGTGATGCCTTGTCGTATTTCGGGTTCTAATAGTGTTGTGTCGTAATTCTTTCCCTGAGAAGTGTTCAATTCGGTGCTAACGTGTGGAAATTCATTTTGATGATTTGAAATTGAAAATCCGGCTGTGACTTTGGCGTAGGATTTTCCTTCAATTATAGCTCTAGCTTCCTTATATGCAATATTATTATTTGCTGCTAGTTCCAGTATAGTATATTGTTTTTTATATTCGCCACATGTTTTACTGATTGCTAGGTGGGGTTCATTGCAATAGATACACTTAATGTTCTCCACGGTACAATTCTTGCTGTTGTGATCTTCAGCATATTTGAAGCATCTCGCACTACTCCTACATTGCTTACTAGTATGGCCAAATCTAAGGCAATTAAAACATTGGGTAACCTTAATATAAGGGTTAACGCGACATTTCACTGCATATATTGACACTTTTTCTGGAAGTGATTGACTTTTGAAAGTTATAATACACGCTCCTGTATTAACTATTTCCTTCTTATCGTTTTTTCTCGTTATGCGACGAACATAAGTTATTGGAAATGGTGTTTTAATATTTTTTATTATTTCATCCTCTGTCAAAGTAGGGTCTACGTCCGTTATAACACCTGTTTTAAAAAACAAATAATTTGGAGCGTAACATTTTAGATTATGCTCCGCAAAACTTTTTTTGTCTAGTATTTCATTGGCCATTTCTGGTGTTCGTAATTGTATTTTAATTTGATTTCGGCCTACCGACTGTATATCTAGTACTTGATTTCCCATATGCTTAAAAATTTTTCTCCCAATTGCCATCGGGTGTAACCTACCTATGTTTTTTTCCGTTGATTCTATATATACTATAAATGGACCACTATCTGAAGGTTCATATTTGTACTGATTGTATGTCGTTGCTGATTTATTTTCATTCTCGATTGAGTTCTTTTCATTACGCATATCTATATTGTCTACAGATTCATTATTTACAGTTTTGTTGTTTACTGTTTTGTTTACAGGTTGATTATTTGCATTTTCTTCGTATTCCATTCGTTCCATCATTATATTGTCGTTAATTTGCGTTAAATTATTCGTTTTATTTTGTTTTATATCAAGTTTATTAATGTTTACCGTACATGATTTTATTATTGTTGGTATGATTTCAGAGTTAATTTTTACATTTTTTCCTGCGTTTTTGTTGACGTTCGATTTACTTTTTTGTTTTATTTTAATGTTTTCCACTGATTTTTCTGTTTTTTTTTTGCTTAATTTACAAATTTCCATAATTTCGTCATTATCGACGTTATAAATCGTTTTTATAGCACTTGACACTCACGCACCAAGGTCATCGGGCCGAGGCCCTTTGCACCTGGTATTCTTTTGCTGCCCGAAGGCAGTCTCGTTCATATCACTACACTTATTTAATAAATTTCACTTAGTAATTCACTCGATGTTAACTGTTCGGCTTCTCGATTCGAACTGCCCTGTATTGTTACTAATATCGTTTTCTCATTGTAAACTTCTTTCTCTGTTCTCAATTCGCTTCGACGATTTTGTGCCCCATGCAGTATTCGTCTCTGGTTCGAATGTTTCCCAAATATTTGATGTGATCGACGTTTTCTAATTCTTGATTGTTTCCTACCGTTATACTCCATTACGTAACCTATACTCATTTTGACGATTTTGCTCATCTTGTAGGTATATTAAAGTTATACATTATTTTCTGTAGGTTCTATTTGTTATTTTGGATTATATAGTCCGTGTAAAATTTGTTATAATTAAATTTTTTGCGCTGAATCGAATATCGGTTGTTGGTAACATAGCTGAATAATGCTGATTACTTGAATTAAATAAAAGTATGAGCTCTTGTTGTGGTGTCATATTATAGTAATCTTCACTTGAATGTCGATAAACAGTGTGAATATATTGGACGACGTTACTCTTATTGTTAGTTGAACTTCTGAAAAAAAAAACATCTACATCGCGATTAAGAGCTCTTGATAAGTAGTAATGCGTATGGGTATTAGCACATAGTTGATCTGTTGCATGCAATCTAATTTGTCTTTTCAAATCCAAAAACCGAAAACAATCTGTTGTTAATGGATCACAACTACAATCTGATTTTTTGTTAGCACAAACCAACTTTTGACAGAATTTCATGAAAGGTAAACGCATTTCGTCGTCGAAAACGACAACTGTTCATTGCCGCATATATTATGAGAAACTGCGTCATAAAAACAATTTCTGATTGCGGTGGTCCTTATAATTCTAAAATAATTTTTGAATTCTTCGTGAAAATCCTTGTACACATTTTTATGTTCTATAGCACAAGATTTTATACTATTATAGTTTGTTACAGGATTGTGAGAAAATAAATTTCTAAATTGAATCACAAACTCGTTATTTCTCGATAATATTAGCTTTAGCTGAGTTATGAGATGCTCATCACTCAAGTTAGAGTAGTTAGTTCTATAACATTTTGTAGAATCATTTCTGTGCGTTTTAAAATTGTTCTAATAGCGAAAGGAATAGCTGTAAAAGCAGTATTAGTGGTACTAATTGAAGTCAGAGCATTAGCAGTAGCGGCAGTAGAAGCAGTAGTGGTAGTGTTAGTGGTAGTAGTGGTAGTATCAGTATAGTGATAGTAACATTAGTGATATCGTCGGCAATTCTTCACTTTTTCTAGTTTTGTATCTACATTACTTGAAATAAAAATATTATCTATATAGTCAGCAATTAACACTTTATTCTCAAAACAATTTTCATGTAAAATTGCATATACTGGCTTATGATAACTAAAATAACTTTCGTATACCCCGTCTTCTATATTGTTATTATTTCCAAAAACGACGTCT